CTATACAAATATAAATAATAATAATAAATAATAATAATAATAATAATAATAATAATAATAGTATAATATAATATTATTATTATATAATTTATATAATAGTAATATTATATTATATTAATTTTTAATTAAGTTATATTAATAATAATATTATATCATATGTATTATATTATTATATTATATTATATAATATATAATTTATATATAAATTATATAATAATAATATTATATTATACTATTATTATTATAATATAATATAATATATAATATAATTATATAATTTATATACAAATTATATAAATATAATAAATACAACAGAGATGGTTCTGTTCTATTAATAATCCTAGAAATTCTCTTTCAGATGTCTACTTCAACACCATGCTTAATAGTTTTCTTTTTTTTTTTATTTAATTTATTTAACGCCGCGTCTGCTTAACAGCAATTAGCGACCACTTGTGGAATAACATTTGTAGATTACACGTAGTATAATATACAATAGTACAAATTTGCCGAACAACCCAAGTGTCGGCAAACGATGAATAATTTGTCGCGGCGCACTTCGTTCAGATCCCTCTAATTGAATTTTACAGCGTGCGGCGCTCCCCCCGTTTTCCAGAAATTCAACAAAACATCGCAACACCCTCGAAGGCAACAAACAGCCTTCATTACCGATCGACTGCAAAGCGTGCGATTATCGCGCGGCACTCTCGTCGTCAATAATTGATTGGGACGAGACATATGTTGGTCATTCACGTTTCTTCCGTCCCACCTTTGCAGCCCCGACCACTTCGTGCATCGATCCTAGCCGAGAGATCTATTAGGCAACGCGCAGTTTACGAACAAAAGGGACAGGTCGCCGGCAATACCAACGATACCGTCCGCTGCTATTGTTGTTAGCCGACAATACAGCGGCACTTAACAACGCGGACCAGGCTTGAAATATTAATTGGCCGGGGTTGGGGCCGCGTGGGTGTGGATAATTGTGCCGGATCAATTCGGTAAACTGGAACGGATGATCTATGGGGTTGGTCCGGGGCTGCACTTACTGGCCGGTACATTTATTTGCAAACGATTCTTTTGTATAATTGTTGGTTCTACTCGGGAAATTTCACGATGACCTTTATCGTAGATGTGAACTAATTTTTTTATATATTATTCAGTAATTATGTACAGAAATATTTGAATGATCGTAAATTAACTAAGTGAATAGTATTGTATATGTAATACTTAGTATTGCAATACTAATATATATTACTATAATATGATACTAATTGTAACTAATAATACTTATAATACTAATATTACTATAGTATTAATAATAATATAATATTACTATAATATAATACTATAGTACTATAATATTACTATAATATTAATTAAGTGAATAGTATTGTATATGTAATACTTAGTATTATAATACTAATATGATATTAATAATTAATTAATTTATGATTATTATTATTATATAGTAATAATTAATATTATATATATATATAATATTAATTATTAATTAATATATTACTATATTACTATAATAATTAATATATATATATATAAGTATTATTAGTTACAATTAGTATTATATATATAATATTAATTATTACTATATAATAATAATAATCGTAAATGAATTAAGTATATATATNTATTATTCAGTAATTATGTACAGAAATATTTGAATGATCGTAAATTAACTAAGTGAATAGTATTGTATATGTAATACTAATAGTAATAGTAATAATTAATATTATATATATATATAATATTATTTTATTATTACCTGGTTTTCAAGAATCGGACAACATTCAAACTCTGCACTGCTTTTGCACCGAGGTCACCAACCATAACGGATAAACGCCTGACACGTCCGGACGACCGAATGCTGTGTTTTCCGTAGATAAAAAGGCGCAAGGTACATTTGAACCGCAGCTCCGATAACAGGTGCATCGAGCCACGAACGAACGGTAGCAATTTGTACGGCCGATTCTGACCGATTTCCACGGTGTATCCGGTCTAAGGTCACAGTAGTCCCGCGACGGAGACTCCCCCGACGAGATCTATGGTTAACCATAGCCGAGCTTGCGGCCCATTGAAAGAGCGAACGTAGTGGCCGTGTCTAATCGAGGAACGGTCAGCGAAACCTCCGAGGATTCCCAAGGTACGCGGATCCATCTATTCGGATCATCTGGCCGGAGATTACGACTCGAAGAATCGGCCGCTACGTTTGAACCAGATTCGCCTAACAGGATCCGGATCCTGGGCGGCGGAAGGTGAATTTCATGGGAACAGACTTTCACATGAACGCGAAACCGTCTCCGATGTTACGCCTTTCCAGCTTGGTCTTTCAGTACTTTTTTCCTCCCGTTTCTTCTTCAGCAGGCTCGCAGGTGAAGTTGGGGGGGGAGGGGAGGGGGTGGATGAAGATGTATAATGAGCACGGAATCTTTGTGGGAATTTTTTCGATCGCTCGATGCCGCGATTGTTTCGAAATAGAGTTTTTTGAAGGACTTTATTCGACCTTGAGACGATGCGGTACCTTGGAACCTTGAAAGTGATAGATAAATTTGACGTTCTTCTTGGCTCCCCGATTAAGAAAATCAAGATTCTTGTGGGGAATACTTGGCAAGAACTTGACTCTGTCTTCATATTACTTCGATTACCTCGATCGTTCCTCATTTCTACAGATTAATCTGTCGTTTGAAATCAAATTGACGGAACGATCAGAAATTAACGAGGTGAAATAATAAATAATTATCATTGTAAACTCCAACTTCGTGAATGAAAAATCCGAGGTAAGAGAAAATGAGATTAAAATGAGATTTTTCGAGTTACAACGATCAGAAATTAATGAGATGAAATAATAAATAATTATCATTGTAAACTCCATCTTTGTGAATGAAAAATCCAAGGTAA